TCCAGGTGGGAAGAAGCAGGATCTGCCTCTGTGTTTGGGGTGATGTCCACAACCTCTATGTGTGAAGAAGCCGGGTCTGCCTCTGTGCTATGGGTTTCGTAAACAACCTCCAGGTGGGTAGAAGCCAGGTCTGCCTCTGTGTTAGGGGTGGTTTCCACAACCTCCTGATAGGAAGAAGCCGGGTCTAACTCTGTGTTAGGGGTGATGTCCACAAGCTCCAGGTGGGAAGAAGCCAGGTGTGCCTCTTTGTTAGGGGTGATGTCCACAACCTCCAGGTGGGAAGAAGCAGGGTCTGACTCTGTGTTAGGGGTGATGCCCACTACCAATGGGTGGGAAGAAGCTGGGTCTGCCTCTGTGTTATGGGGGATTTCCACAACCTCCAGGTGGGAAGAAGCCTGGTCTGCATCTGTGTTTGGGGTGACAATTAAAATCCTGATTGGCTTTACTACTACAAGGCACCAGGATGTCATGACAAAAGGCATCTGTCAGAGTGCTCTCTATGAGTGCTACTCACCTGCTTGGATGTCAGCTGGTAGTGTGGCGGAGACGGCCACCACTAGGACAGGGGGAACTGGCAGGGTGTCTGCAGTAGGCTGGAAGTAGCTTTTCACCTCGTCCGCCACAAAGGCACAGACAGAGCTCATAAAAAAAGGGGTTGTGAGGTCATCCAGGGAGAAGGACTGGCTGATTCTCCAGAGGATCGACCTCACAGAGTCAAAAGCAGCAGCCCGGGAGAAAGGGGTGTGAGGAGAAGAGGCCTTCAACATGCTGGAGAGCTTCTCCCCTACGGCCACCACCATACTCACAGCCATCCCGCTTAGGAGGATGGGGTGATCTGAATGGCCTTCCTCTGGCTGAAGCCACAAGGCCAGGAGGATCCTGGGCACCATCTCCACCACCACCTGGGATGGGCTGAGCAGGTTGCTACAGGGCTTATTGGACAGCTTGTCCAGAATGCTCCTCACAGCTCTCTCCCCGATGCTGTGGACCTTAGGGTCGCTGTAATCAACAAAAAGCAGCAGAGAAAGCTAAACGATGTGCAATGTTCACACAGAGAACACTGCCCTAGTTTCTTTCTGCATAGCTCCAGATGTGTAGATGAATGGAGCAAGCCGTATGCAGGGCAGTACATGGAACTCACATGTCAGCGCCAGCTGGTGAGGTGGGGTGCATAGAGCGGCGGAGCTTGCAGACAGCCTTGTGCTCCATGTCAATCATTTTTAGGCAGGTGTTTACTTCCCAGGTCTGCCGTAGGAAACAGGAAGTCCCATTAGTGTAATTTCACAACAGATATATTCTGCTGTACAACTAGTTGTTGAAAGGCTAGAAAGGAGCTCACTGACTGATAGTCTAAGTCTCTAACTCTCATTCTCTTACCAGCCGAGCGAGTTCGTTCCCCTCCTCCAGGGTTTCCTTCCACACCCTTCAAATAAAACACAAAGCATTTCAACTTTCCTGGCTTCCTATTTTTTGTTGTTTATTTTACCCACACCTCCTGGAGTGCTGCTGGTGACAGAGAATGGCAGTGAAGGTGAGAGCTGACGTGGTACTCACCTCTCCCTAAGGGATTTTTTGCCATCTATAATTATATGGTTGGTTGCGGCTGTCAGTTTGTCTTTCACAAATTTTTAAATACAATCGCGACATAAAACATACAGTTTGGAAAGCAAATGCCTATTGCTGAAAATAGAAGACTAATCTGTCTGTAGAAGCTACAAAAAATATCAATGTCTTTTGAGCAATTCTGAACTAACAGCACTGTTTTTCAAAGTAGCTTATCTTGAAGTAGGCTATTGCAGAATTCCCCAAACTTGGGGTGGCCTAATTTATAAAATGGGGTCACGATAAAACAATTTTTTGCGCTTGGTTCATAGAACCGGGGTTACCAGAGTAACCTCCTGTAGCCACTAAATGTGGCTCTAACTTTTTAACGGTTTAAGTTGCAAAATATTATGACCCCATCACTGAAAGATCATACTCTCAGGAACACATATACTATATATACAAAAGTATGTGGAAACCCCTTCAAATTAGTGGATTCGGCTGTTTCATCCACACCCGTTGCTGACAGGTGTATACAATCATGCACACAGCTCAGTGACTTTCAACGTGGCACCGTCATAGGATGCCGCCTTTCAAACAAGGCAGTTCGTCAAATGTAAGTGCTGTTATTGTGAAGTGGAAACGTCTAGGAGCAACAATGGCTCAGCCGCGAACAGAATGGGACCGCCGAGTGCTAAAGCGCGTAGCTCGTAGAAATTGTCTGTCCTCGGTTGCAACACTCACTACCAAGTTCCAAACTGCCTCTGGAAGCAACGTCAGCACAAGAACTGTTCGTCAGGAGCTTCATGAAATGGGTTCCATGGCCGATAAGCTGCACACAAACCTAAGATCACCAAGCACAATGCCAAGCGTCGGCTGGAGTGCTGTAAAGCTCGCCGCCATTGGACTCTGGAGCAGTGGAAACGCCTTCTCTAGAGTGATGAATCACGCTTCACCATCTGGCAGTCCGACAGACGAATCTGGGTTTGGTGGATGCCAGGAGAACGCTACCTGCCCCAATGCATTGTGCCAACTGTACAGTTTGGTGGAGGAGGAATAATGGTAGGGAGCTGTTTTTCATTGTTCTGGCTAGGCCCCTTAGTTCCAGTGAAGGGAAATCTTAACGCTACAGCATACAATGACATTCTAAACGATACTGTGCTTCCAACTTTGTGGCAGCAGTTTGGGGAAGGCCCTTTCCTGTTTCATCATGACAATGCCCCCGTGTACAAAGCGAGGTCCATACAGAAATGGTTTGTCGAGATCGGTGTGGAAGAACTTGACTGGCCTGCACAGAGCCCTGACCTCAACCCCATCAAATACCTTTGGGATGAATTGGAATGCCGACTGCGAGCCAGGCCTAATCGCCCAACATCAATGCCCGACCTCACTAATGAATGGAGCATGTCCCCACAGCAATGTTCCAACATCTAGTGGAAAGCCTTCCCAGAAGAGTGGAGGCTGTTATAGCAGCAAAGGAGGGACCAACTCCATATTAATGTTCATTATTTTGGAATGAGATGCTTGACGAGCAGGTGTCCAGATACTTTTGGTCATGTAGTGTATGTGTCTTCTGTTTCCCTCAAACCCCTTAGAACAGAGTGGACAGGACCAGCCAGTAAATGAGACTGGTGGAAAAAGAACATCATCAATGATGATGTTCTTTTCTACACAGAAGATCATACACAATTATTGGCTGATGTTTTCCTTTATGTTTTCTTGAACTTCCTAATAACTTTCTGATGCATTTCAAACCGTACTTCCTTCAGATTTAAATATTATTACAAATCAGTAAGTTAAAAAATACAAAGAAAGACAGACTGTCATAGCGGCAATTAAAAAAGTTAACATTGGTTATTGATTATATAACTTTTTTTACATGGTGGTGTTGCGAAACAAAATTGATATCAAAATGGGGTCACTCACCCAAAAAGTTTGGGAACCCCTGGGCTATTGGCACAAGCGCATCGGCCATCACCGCTGAGTAGCCCAGGCTTCATCTTTATCATTGGGTGAGACAGTGCCACTGGAAAGTTTATTTAGTAGCCTCCTGTAGCCAATAATAAATATAGTCTGACTAGAAGGCCGCTCCGGCTCCCTCTCCTCCGGCCGCGTTGTTTTACCTTATTTACGTAAGTATTCGGACCTTGTCACTTGTTAAATCCACCTCAATCAGTGTAGATGAAGGGGAGGAGACAGGTTAAAGAAGGATTTTTAAGCCTCGAGACATGGCTTGTGTATGTGTGCCATTCAGAAGGTGAATGGGCTAGACAAAATATTTAAGTGCCTTTGAACAGGGTATGTTAGTAGGTGCCAGGGGCACCGGTTTGAGTGTGTCAAGAACTGCATCGCTGCTAGGTTTTCCACGTTCAACAGTTTCTCGTATGTATCAAGAATGGTCCTCCACCCAAAGAACATCCAGCCAACTTGACACTACTGTGGGGAAAGTTGGAGTCAACATGGGCCAGCATCCCTGTGGAACGCTTTCGACACCTTGTAGTCCATTCCAGAATTGAGGCTGTTGTGAGGGCAAAAGGGGGTGCAAGTCAATATTAGGAAGGTGTTCCTAATGTTTTATACAGTCAGTGTAGATATTCCTCCTAATATTGTACAGTCTGTGTGTCTCTTCATTGGCCTGGGCTATTGGTTTGCATTCAAGACCAGGTTGTTTTTATTGCTCTCAGAGTTTTCACTGTCAGAGTAGCCACTCATTTCTGTAATTTGTGGGGTATAAAAAAGATTCTGCTAATGTCTTCTATCATGTAAATAATGTAGAATTGCATGAAATGCGTATATACATATTTTTTTTTTCTCCAGAACCTGAAATATTCTATTCCTCATGTGTGGAATTTCTAAAAATGCCTCTGATTAACGCAAATGTGATTGTAGATGCATGGAATGCATTTATAATGTGATTATAGGGGATTCCAACTCACAACATTCTTCCATTGGCTATGCTTGTCTACCCAGACTCATTTATGTTTGCAAGAAAAAGTTGGTGTCCATTTTCTTTTCTGATTATAAATAAACCCGATTTGGTACAATATCTGGCCTGTTCATTACCATGCTCCTTCCTTGACTTTAGCTTTGAGGACCTGACATTATGATATTAAAAAGGTGGCATAATTCAGCTATGTTCGATTAATTAAAACCCCCAATGTAACAAATAAATACACAACTAAGAATACTCTTTTATTAAATTATACATCCAGCCATTTTTGTTATTAGAGAAGATACCATCCCAAGAGCTTGAAAAACAAGTGAAACACGCAGCTGTGATGTTGGTGAACATTTTGACTATATTAAAGTAGGAACACATTTTCAAGTTAACACATGCCTTATAATGACCTATTAATGGCTTATAAATGAAAGTTGTGATAAAGTGTTATTGGATTGGTAGATATTATTGGTGGTATAATTATGTGTTCATATGGTCCACACCTGAGAAGCAGTTGAGGCTGGTGGGAGGAGCTATAGGAGGATGGGCACATTGTAATGGCTGGATAGAATCAATGCAACGGCATCAAACTATGTATGTTTATTCATCCCTGTTTAAATACTTTAAGAATGTATCCTACAGTATGTGCTAGAACTATTTACTTTTATCTATCAATTAGTGTTAGATCAGCGATTACTCCCAAAGGAGGGAGGAAGGAATGGTGTGTTCAAACAGTTCCCTAGATTATCTAGTGCTGCTGCTTCCTCTTCTCAAGGTTGATCCAGATGCCCTTCTCGGGGCGAAGAATGAGCTCCCCTAGTGGACGGAGGTCTTCCCGCTTCTGACACGCCTCCACGTTGAAGTAGCGGAAGATGGATGCCAGGATCACCTTTTCCTCCATCATGGCAAAGCGCTGACCTGGGGGGATGTAACAAAAGCATGTGAGGATGACATCTTCATCGGACACACTTTTAATCGTCCATTTTGTTTTCACTATTTCAAATGCCTTATTGTCTTCAACCTTAATCTGTAACCATTATTAAAGTAGCGAGAGTATGTGAGGATGACAACCTCATTGGACACACGTTTAGAGGCCCACCGTAGTAAAAAGTTTATGTTTCAAGCTGACAAAATATAGCCTGAGTGATATTCTACAAATCAACGTGACAAATCTTGTGTCGTTCATCTCAAATGGAATGATGTTGATTTACCAATTTTCTAAAACGTTGGTGCTACTTAGTTAAATATCTTGAACGTTTCCTATTCTTACCGATGCAGTTGCGGAGTCCAGCAGAGAAAGGGATGAAGGCGTAAGGATGTCTCCCAACGCAGTTTTCCGGCATGAAGCGTTCAGGGCGAAACTCTTCAGGCTGGGGGAAGTGGCGCGGGTCACGGTGGAGGGAGTAGGTCAATATGATGGCATTGGCACCTTTGGGAACCTTGAAACCATCTACAGGTGCAAAAATGTGAAACACAAGTTAGGTTATTAGGTCCACAAAATGTACACGTGAAGAATTAACACATAACCACAAAAAATAACTAAACAAGACTGAAATGGAAAGGCGCTGGATAAAGCATGGTTGTAGGTTCAACTTCCATTTTGGCACAGGCCACCCATTGTGAATATGTACATCAATTAGTATTAATTAAAAGTAGTGTATACCTAATCCTGTAAATTTAAATCAGTTTGAGAATTAATGACAGACTGAAATAAACATTAATGGTTAAGAATGTGTAATTCATGTATATATATATATATATATATATATATATATATATATATATATATATATATATATATATATATATATATATATACTGCTCAAAAACATAAAGGGAACACTAAAATAACACATCCTAGATCTGAATGAATGAAATAATATTTTTAAATACTTTTTTCTTTACATAGTTGAATGTGCTGACAACAAAATCACACACAAATTATCAATGGAAATCAAATGTATCAACCCATGGAGGTCTGGATTTGGAGTCACCCTCAAAATTAAAGTGGAAAACCACACTACAGGCTGATCCAACTTTGATGTAATGTCCTTAAAACAAGTCAAAATGAGGCTCAGTAGTGTGTGTGGCCTCCACGTGCCTGTATGACCTCCCTACAACGCCTGGGCATGCTCCTGATGAGGTGGTGGATGGTCTCCTGAGGGATCTCATCCCAGACCTGGACTAAAGCATCCGCCAACTCCTGGACAGTCTGTGGTGCAATGTGGCGTTGGTGGATGGAGCGAGACATGATGTCCCAGATGTGCTCAATTGGATTCAGGTCTGGGGAACGGGCGGTCCATAGCATCAATGCCTTCCTCTTGCAGGAACTGCTGACACACTCCAGCCACATGAGGTCTAGCATTGTCTTGCATTAGGAGGAACCCAGGGCCAACCGCACCAGCATATGGTCTCACAAGGGGTCTGAGGATCTCATCTCGGTACCTAATGGCAGTCAGGCTACCTCTGGCGAGCACATGGAGGGCTGTGCGGCCCCCCAAAGAAATGCCACCCCACACCATGACTGACCCACCGCCAAACCGGTCATGCTGGAGGATGTTGCAGGCAGCAGAACGTTCTCCACGGCGTCTCCAGACTCTGTCACGTGCTCAGTGTGAACCTGCTTTCATCTGTGAAGAGCACAGGGCGCCAGTGGCGAATTTGCCAATCTTGGTGTTCTCTGGCAAATGCCAAACGTCCTGCACGTGTTGGGCTGTAAGCATAACCCCCACCTGTGGACGTCGGGCCCTCATACCACCCTCATGGAGTCTGTTTCTGACCGTTTGAGCAGACACATGCACATTTGTGGCCTGCTGGAGGTCATTTTGCAGGGCTCTGGCAGTGCTCCTCCTGCTCCTCCTTGCACAAAGGCGGAGGTAGCAGTCCTGCTGCTGGGTTGTTGCCCTCCTACGGCCACCTCCACGTCTCCTGATGTACTGGCCTGTCTCCTGGTAGCGCTTCCATGCTCTGGACACTACGCTGACAGACACAGTAAACCTTCTTGCCACAGCTCGCATTGATGTGCCATCCTGGATGAGCTGCACTACCTGAGCCACTTGTGTGGGTTGTAGACTCCGTCTCATGCTACCAGTAGAGTGAAAGCACCGCCAGCATTCAAAAGTGACCAAAACATCAGCCAGGAAGCATAGGAACTGAGAAGTGGTCTGTGGTCACCACCTGCAAAACCAGTCCTTTATTGGGGGTGTCTTGCTAATTGCCTATAATTTCCACCTGTTGTCTATTCCATTTGCACAACAGCATGTGACATTTATTGTCAATCAGTGTTGCTTCCTAAGTGGACAGTTTGATTTCACAGAAGTGTGATTGACTTCGAGTTACATTGTGTTGTTTAAGTGTTCCCTTTATTTTTTTGAGCAGTATATATATAATCTGCAAAATCGGCAGTGTATCAAATACTTGTTCTCCCCACTGTATATATATATATATATATATATATATATATATATACAGTGGGGAGAACAAGTATTTTGATACACTGCCGATTTTGCAGATTTTCCTACTTACAAAGCATGTAGAGGTCGGTAATTTTTATCATAGGTACACTTCAACTGTGAGTGATGGAATCTAAAACAAAAATCCAGAAAATCACATTGAATGATTTTTAAGTAATTAATTTACATTTTATTGCATGACATAAGTATTTGATACATCAGAAAAGCAGAACTTAATATTTGGTACAGAAACCTTTGTTTGCAATTACAGAGATCATACGTTTCCTGTAGGTCTTGACCAGGTTTGCACACACTGCAGCAGGGATTTTGGCCCACTCCTCCATACAGACCTTCTCCAGATCCTTCAGGTTTTGGGGCTGTCGCTGAGCAATACAGACTTTCAGCTCCCTCCAAAGATTTTCTATTGGGTTCAGGTCTGGAGACTGGCTAGGCCATTCCAGGACCTTGAGATGCTTCTTACGGAGCCACTCCTTAGTTGCCCTGGCTGTGTGTTTCGGTCGTTGTCATGCTGGAAGACCCAGCCACGACCCATCTTCAATGCTCTTACTGAGGGAAGGAGGTTGTTGGCCAAGATCTCGCGATACATGGCCCCATCCATCCTCCCCTCAATATGGTGCAGTCGTCCTGTCCCCTTTGCAGAAAAGCATCCCCAAAGAATGATGTTTCCACCTCCATGCTTCACGGTTGGGATGGTGTTCTTGGGGTTGTACTCATCCTTCTTATTCCTCCAAACACGGCGAGTGGAGTTTAGACCAAAAAGCTCTATTTTTGTCTCATCAGACCACATGACCTTCTCCCATTCCTCCTCTGGATCATCCAGATGGTCATTGCCAAACTTCAGACGGGCCTGGACATGCGCTGGCTTGAGCAGGGGGACCTTGCGTGCACTGCAGGATTTTAATCCATGACTGCGTAGTGTGTTACTAATGGTTTTCTTTGAGACTGTGGTCCCAGCTCTCTTCAGGTCATTGACCAGGTCCTGCCGTGTAGTTCTGGGCTGATCCCTCACCTTCCTCATGATCAATAATACCCCACGAGGTGACATCTTGCATGGAGCCCCAGACCGAAGGTGATTGACCGTCATCTTGAACTTCTTCCATTTTCTAATAATTGCGCCAACAGTTGTTGCCTTCTCACCAAGCTGCTTACCTATTGTCCTGTAGCCTATCCCAGCCTTGTGCAGGTCTACAATTTCATCCCTGATGTCCTTACACATCTCTCTGGTCTTGGCCATTGTGGAGAGGTTGGAGTCTGTTTGATTGAGTGTGTGGACAGGTGTCTTTTATACAGATAACAAGTTCAAACAGGTGCAGTTAATACAGGTAATGAGTGGAGAACAGGAGGGCTTCTTAAAGAAAAACGAACAGGTCTGTGAGAGCCGAAATTCTTACTGGTTTGTAGGTGATCAAATACTTATGTCATGCAATAAAATGCAAATTAATTACTTAAAAATCATACAATGTGATTTTCTGGATTTAGATTCCATCACTCACAGTTGAAGTGTACCTATGATAAAAATTAAAGACCTCTATATGCTTTGTAAGTAGGAAAACCTGCAAAATCGGCAGTGTATCAAATACTTCTTCTCCCCACTGTGTGTATATATATATATATATATATATATATATATATATATATATATATATTTGTGGGGGGGGGGGGGGGGGATATGGGGGATTGGAAGTGATGCAGACAATAACATTGATGAAAGTTACAATCTATCTGCAATATTAAAGCTGATCTACCCCCTAAAAAATGAATGTCACTCACTGATGTGGCAGTCTTCACCGATGCTGCGGGCAAAGAAGGGGACAGAGGGGAACAGGCGCAGGGACTCTTTGATAACACATTCTAGGTAGCGCAGCTTCTTCAGATCCTCTGTGTTTACTGGCCGGTCGGACACACCTGAGCACAGGGGTACAAGAATGCATGTTACATCCCATTATAAATGTTCTGTAGTGATGTGGCAATCGGACACAGCTATGAATGGGGGGACAAAAATGGGATGTTACACAGTATTATGAATATTCGGTGGTGATGGGGCAATCGGACACAGCTATGATCGTGGGAACAAAAATGGATGTTACACCCTATTAATGGGGGGGACAAAAATGGATGTTACACCCTATTATGAATGTTCTGTGGTAATGGGGCAATCGGACACAGCTATGAATGGAGATACAGGAATGGATGTGATGTTCGTCTGTCATCAAACATAGTAACTAAACCAAACCTGCATCTACTGTCAAAGAGATACTTGTCACGGATAGTGACGGGAGACTATGGGATTAGAATCACCAAACACCTCCTGCAGAGCACATGGTCTAGCGGTTAGAATTACCAAGTACCTCCTGCAGAGCACATGGTCTAGCGGTTAGAATGACCAAGTACCTCCTGCAGAGCACATGGTCTAGCGGTAATGTGTCCAGCTTCTCTAAATACGCTTCCGAGACCAGGGTTCAATCCCAGCAGCTTCTCCTTCTGTCGGACTGTCTCTCCCACTTACCAGTCTACATTGTCTAAATCAAGTGCAATAAAATACTTTAACACAGGTGTCAAACTCATTCCATGGAGGGCCGAGTGGCTGTGGGTTTTCACTCCTCCCTTGTACTTCATTGATGAGGATCTCCCCATACCTGGTTGTCTAAATCAAATCACATTTTATTGGTCACATACACATATTTAGCAGATGTTATTGCGGGTGTAGCGAAATGCTTGTGTTTCTAGCTCCTTTGAAAGGAAAAAGCTAAAACCTGCAGAAACTAGGCCTTCAATGGAATAAGTTTGACTCTACTGCATGCATTATGATACAACTATGCAATAAAATGTTGGATTCGTTTTTTTAACTAACTATTTTTTGATTTGTTGCCGTATGGCAACACTATGAGACAACGGTAACAATATGCAACTATTAATAACATTTAAAACAGTGTTTTATATATATATATATATATATATATATATATAAATGAGGTATTTGAATTATAATTTGATAGTTTTTATTCCTTCATACTATCAGCATAATTTACTCTGGCCATATTATATATTTTTAAATAAATAAGATTATAATTTTTTTAATCCACTCATACAGTGGGGGAAAAAGTATTTAGTCAGCCACCAATTGTGCAAGTTCTCCCACTTAAAAAGATGAGAGAGGCCTGTAATTTTCATCATAGGTACACGTCAACTATGACAGACAAAATGAGATTTTTTTTCTCCAGAAAATCACATTGTAGGATTTTTTATGAATTTATTTGCAAATTATGGTGGAAAATAAGTATTTGGTCAATAACAAAAGTTTTCACACACTGTTGCTGGTATTTTGGCCAATTCCTCCATGCAGATCTCCTCTAGAGCAGTGATGTTTTGGGGCTGTCGCTGGGCAACACAGACTTTCAACTCCCTCCAAAGATTTTCTATGGGGTTGAGATCTGGAGACTGGCTAGGCCACTCCAGGACCTTGAAATGTTAGCAAACTTCAGACGGGCCTGGACATGTACTGGCTTAAGCAGGAGAAACGTCTGGCACTGCAGGATTTGAGTCCCTGGCGGCGTAGTGTGTTACTGATGGTAGGCTTTGTTACTTTGGTCCCAGCTCTCTGCAGGTCATTCACTAGGTCCCCCCGTGTGGTTCTGGGATTTTTGCTCACCGTTCCTGTGATCATTTTGACCCCACGGGGTGAGATCTTGCGTGGAGCCCCAGATCGAGGGAGATTATCAGTGGGCTTGAATGTCTTCCATTTCCTAATAATTGCTCCCACAGTTGATTTCTTCAAACCAAGCTGCTTACCTATTGCAGATTCAGTCTTCCCAGTCTGGTGCAGGTCTACAATTTTGTTTCTGGTGTCCTTTGACAGCTCTTTGGTCTTGGCCATAGTGGAGTTTGGAGTGTGACTGTTTGAGGTTGTGGACAGGTGTCTTTTATACTGATAACAAGTTCAAACAGGTGCCATTAATACAGGTAACGAGTGGAGGACAGAGGAGCCTCTTAAAGAAGAAGTTACAGGTCTGTGAGAGCCAGAAATCTTGCTTGTTTGTAGGTGACCAAATACTTATTTTCCACCATAATTTGCAAAAAAATTCATTACAAATCCTACAATGTGATTTTCTGGATTTCTTTTTCTCATTTTGTCTGTCATAGTTGATGTGTACCTATGATGAAAATTACAGGCCTCTCTCATGTTTTTAAGTGGGAGAACTTGCACAATTGGTGGCTGACTAAATACTTTTTTCCCCCCACTGTATATAACAAATATATGTTATCTTTATAAAAATATGTCAATATTACGCCAAAAAATCTGAAAATTATATTTTCACTGTCTTTTGCCTGGCCCCTCTCAACTGAATTGCAGTTCAACTATCACACAGTGTTGCCGTTTGCCAACAAATGCATTTGATCAATTTCCCAAGAACAAATTCTAGAGAAATTGGATGTAATGTTTAATATCACCTCTTAACTAACATGAGATTGAGTTTACATTTTTCATTGAAGGGGAAATGTAAAAATGATTGCTTTATGAGAACAATGTGGATGGCATTTATGAAAGGGAGCCCCATGTGGGTGCATGTCATGTGACTTTACCTAAGCACATAATTGGCTAGTCTACACCCCCCCCCCCCCCTTCTGTAAAAAGCAATGGTGTTTATAATTTTTCATTCAGGGAAGCAAGAGGTGAAGAGAAATGATATGTTGCCATACGGCAACACCAGGCAGTAAAGGGTTGAGAAAATAAAGGGTTAGAAAAGAGGGGGGGATTACCGAACACCTCCTGCAGCTCTTGTTGAACCTTTCTCTGCACCTCTGGATGGGAGCCCAGCAGGTGAATGGCCCAATTCATGGCTGCGGCTGTAGTGTCATGACCCTGCAAGACGGGGGCAATAAAAATAACACCAATGATAAATCTGTAATACATTCTACATGGAGTGATAGAGGTTTTGACCTCTGACCCTGAACATGAAGGTGTCCACTTCCTCCTGGATGTCCTCGTGGGTGAGCTTGTTGCCCTCCTCGTCCGTGGTCTTCAGAAGCATGTCCAGGAAGGCCCGCCTCTTCCTCATGCCCTGGTCCGATTCGCTGTCCGACTCGACGTAGGCAATGTACTCCGCCCTCTCGTAGATCACCTGGGGTGTATTCAGTGAAAACATTTGACATCATGCGTTCTGAACGTTGCAGATAGAAAGAGAATGAATAGCGCTGACGGAATTTCTTATTCTATCGTACAGACAATCATTTATGTTCTACACAATACATTTCTATCTGAACATTCTGTAATGGCCATCGTTCTGAACAGGCCCTTGGCTGGATGGATGGGGGCTGATGGATGACAGCTTATTTCCCTGGGTGCAGCTAAATTGTCGAAAGCCCCTTTTTGATTGATTGACTGATTGACTGATGACTCACATTGGAGGTGAACGAGTGGAGGACCTTGAGGCTCCTGTTGTGCTCCCAGCCCTCGCCAAAGTAGTTGTAGAAAAAGTCGGGCCAGAACCACGGCATCCTCTGTCGCCGTGTGATGATGTCACTCATCCTGGGGACAGTAGGAGGGATGCAAGGGAGAGAAAGTTATATTAATTTGATGCAAGTTGATTCCGCTCCATTACATTTTCTCTCAATGAATATTGTCCCCAAACGTCTGTTTATTTGTAGCATTTACAGAGTTTAACAACATGCGTGGTACAAGACGGCTACTACTTGCAACCAACTACCAACAGTGCAGACAGAAGGAGAGAAGGAGGGGGAAACACAGAGAGAGAGAGAGAGAGAGAGAGAGAGAGAGAGATGCAGGGACAGAGAGCAATGGTCGGCCGTCGATACCCTCTACTTCAAAACAACACTGGGCATGACAGTTGCATTCAGGACGAGGCACTCACTTGTACACACATTGGACATACTCTGAGTCATAGTTACTCTGAGCGTAGATTTTCTTCCCCATTGCAGTCTCTGAAAGGAAAATCATATACAGAGATATTTATTGCAAGATTGGTTGCAATTTTGATAGATCTTTTAGTTGACTTGAAATGGCCACAAGAATGTGAAATCTTTTTAACCCATTGAGCCTTTGGACCCGCTAGAATCACCCCACATCCAGACCCACCACAGATGATGTCGAGGGCACAGAGGGTGACGTGGTTGAAGCAGTTGAAGGGGCCCTTGCCTGCCACCTTGTCCAGCTTCTCCACCAGCACCTCGGCCTGCTCGTTCATCACCTCCAGGAACTCCGTCAGGATGGAGAAGTGGAAGGTGGGGGTGAGCAACTTCCGCCGCCGCCGCCACTTGTTCCCCGTGCTGGGGAGAGGGAGGTGGGGAACAGAGGGAGGGGGGAGATATTGAGGAAGAGAGAGACAGAGGGAGGGTGGCAAAGAAAGAGAATCAGATAGAAAAGGAGGGGAAGCAGAGAGAGGGAGATGCAGAACAAGTGATACAGAGAGAGACTGTGTGTGAGAGATGGATTTCAGAAAATATGGAGGCAATGTGTTGATTGGAAAGTATTGACGTTTCTCAGAATGTATTGATCTTTGTCATAAAAAAATGAAGTTTTTCCCCCACAATTATCGAAGGCTTATCTAAGAATTCCGTTCCTATCTTTCTTTTATAATACATATTTTCTGTAGTCTCAAATGCATATACGTTTGATCTTTCTCGAATGTGATCTGTTTTGGGACACCCACCTGGTTAGTAGACCAGTGCCGAGCCAAGGTTGCAGGAACTTGTAAGCATAGGCTTTGTCCATATGAACAGGGTTGTTCAGAACTGTCTTTAGAATAAAACAGAATAAATAGAATCAAATAGACAATCAAATAGAATAGAAAATAGAACACAATATAGTTTATTTATTTTTCACAGAGGGAACGTTGGTCATTGGCATGGCATCATCAACAAACAGACAGTTAACAGCAAATATATATCAACGTAAAACCCAAACTTTTTAAAAGCAAAGTTAATTATTTTTGCTTTAGTAAATTGTGTTTTTATGGAAAATGTGACTCTTCCTCTAGTATTCAATACAGTCTGTTTGCTTAGGCACACTTGTACCCAAAGCAGCATAATGGGCTTTGATAGCAGTTACCATATCTTGATTGTCAGGCTACCATTATCTGGTGGAATTACTACTTTATTTATGAAGAGTAGATTTCCATCTCCGGAGTGTTCAGTAGGCAGAAATGTTGAGGTTTCAAAACAAGTGTGACACCAACTTGTATGTTTCACCTTATTTAAACACTTTGCAAAATATACAAGTGTTATGCATCAAGTTGATTCAAGTCAATTCTTTGATTAATAAGCCTACCTCAATGGTTTCTGCATGGAACAGAAGGAGGAAGGGTACTGGTCCGATCCAAATCTTCAACAGTGGGGAGTCCCTGAACTGCTCTGTGTAGCCAATGATTTGACGGAAGAAATCTGAAACCAAAGAAAGAGAACTCTCTGAAGTCATTCACTAGTTCAAGCTTCTGACTATCTGATGAATACATATGTGGGTAGATTGGAAGATCAATGAATGACAATGAATGAATGAGTGAGTGAGTGAATGTTCGAAGCTCCCCTCCCTAAACGACTGTCCTCTCCTCTCTCTTCCCTTCTTCTCTCCTCTCTCTCTTCCAGCGTTGACTTTGAACTGCAGTGCGTTCCCTATGAGGGGGTATGTGCCTTCAGTCTCCGGTATGGACTTCATCTCCCTCCATTTATACAGGTAACTGCTGAGTAGCTGGTAGGTGGCTTAGGTCAGCATTGCAACGAAGAGGCTCACCCCCAGCAGCCCCAACGTGTAAGCCCCCAAAACGACCACCATCTCTGGGTAGTACGTGGCTTTAACAACCTCCAACTGGATGTCTGAGACCTGCTGGCTTCATCTAATATCAGGTGGACTTTAATCCTGACCTATTCCCCACTTTTCCCTGTAATTCCGGCTACTAGTTATGATGAATGATTAACCAATAGCAAGGGGGATGAGGAAGGGTGTACATAGCAGCTAGCTAGCTAGCTAAAAGCAAGGCTAGGTTGATGATACTGTAGCTAGCGACCTCCACTTAATAATTATTATCAAAAACAAACGTCATTACCATCACAATAAACTTAAAACAGGTGGCAACAGTCATGTAATATAATTTTGGCTTAACAGCTACTGTGTATTATTTAACATTACTATTAAAATAGTATTCACTTATAGGAATGAGTAATTGTTTACAAGTTGCTAGCTATCCCATAAAGCCATCACCGAAAACCACATATTTTTATCTTCTTCTGTGATTTGGTAATTTCCTGTTCTATTGACGGACTCTGGCTGCACTAAAAACAACGCAAAGTTTGAAAAAATTTAACGTGTGCGGAATCCGTTTCGCAACAGATGCTTCAACCTCAACGGGGCACTGAGATACCACTCTGTTGCCACTGTGATACCACTCTATTGTGGACTGTCTCCATTGAAATGAATGACATCCGGCGCAACACAATGAACTGCTCAGATGTAATGTGAATGAGGCTTAAAGCCTCGTGCACACCGGTTGCATCAAACTGTATATGTTCCGGAGGAAGTCCATTCATTCCAATGGGAGGCAAATTCACACCGCTGGTTAGAACCCAAATGTAATACTGATAAAAGCACCCCCTCTTCAAAAGACCCTTCTCATCGCCTTTTTTTTCTCATAACCTCTCCTCTCTCACCTCCGCCGTTGGCTTTGAACTGCAGTGCGTTCCCTATGAGGGGGTATGTGCCTTCAATCTCTGGTATGGGCTTCATCTCCCTCCATTTATGCAGGTAACTGCTGAGTAGATGGTAGGTGGCGTAGGTCAGCATTGAAACAAAGAGGCTCACCCCCAGCAGCCCCAACGTGTAAGCCCCCAAAACTATCGCCATCTCTGGGTAGTACGTGGCTTAAACAACCTCCGACTGAATGTCTGAGACCTGCTGGCTTCACCTAATGTCAGGTGGACTTTAATCCTAACCTGTTCCCCACTTTTCCCTGTTATTCCAGCTGCTAATGATAAATTATTAACCAGTAGGGAGGAGGTGAGAGGTAAACGTGGATATTCAATAAGGGATCATATTTTGTTGTGTCATGCACACAAAAATGTAGTACACAGGACAAAAAAGTCTGAAAATATATGCACTCAATATTGTAAGTAACTCTAGATAGGAGCGTCTGCTAAAGGACTAAAATGTAAAATGAAAAAGTTAACATGCACACAGACAGGTATAGACACACACACATTCGTTTCATGCACACACACAAATACTCAGACGATAATTCCCTATCATAACACAGCAACGTTCTATTCACAGCCAGTTAAACTAAAACATGGTTTAAACTATAATTTTGATATCATGGATGATCAGTCCTTGAATTCATAGCTCTGTCTATAAAGTTGAGAGTGGTTACATTTCTCCAGCCCCATCAGCTTTTTACCAAAACAGTGGCATATTGACCGCTTTGTTTTTGTATGAACTGCAGATTACCTCTTTGAAGTGGGGGCCCTCCAAAATATTGAACAGTCACACAAGGTCTGAAGAAGGTGTCGTGCTACGAATCTCCATGCAGCAACAATGCAAACAATATATTGTGTTAATGAGAACAGCCTCATTTCTAGGACATTTGGGACAAACAGATTAACGTGATTCACCGTTCAAATTGGATATTGTATTCACATATCTTTTTAATCAATTGATTTCAAATTGGATATTGTATTCACATATCTTTTTAATCAATATTATGGATGGCATAATTGAAGTCTTCATGGTTAGAAGTTCCCCAATGCTAAATTGATAAAAGCACCCCTTCTTCAAAATACTCAATATTCTCATTAAAAAATATATATACACCTTACCTCTCGCATTAGCTTTCAATGACAGAGCATTGCCCAGTAACGGGTAGCTTGGACTTATCCCTGGTATTGGCTTCATCTGGGTCCATCTGTGCAGAGAGCTGCTGAGGAACTGCCAGATGAAGACGCAGGTCAATATGGTCAGGAGTAAGACCAGAACGATCGACCCACTCAGCAATTCACCGATATCCACAGTCATCTTCGTTAGTTAGGTGGTGGTTCAATATTGACTCATAAATGTACATTTGCTTCAGGGTCTCATTCTTTCGCAATAGCACACAAAAGGTTTTGCGTAATTATGGAAAGAAGGCCAACCACTGACCATGTAATGCTCCTCAGGGAGAATCGGGTAAGCTACCCCTACGAGTACCCCTGAAGTGAGCCACAATAGCAGGCTACTGTTTAGTAGGCAGGCCCCCCTTGCCAAGCCACAGTGAGATGCCCTTAAAAAAGGGGGGGTTACTTTTGTAGTGAATGAAGGGGGAAGAGCTATGAAGCTTGAAAAAGTATTTCGGGAAAAGGGGCCCACTTGCAATTCCCCAAAACAAATAGGGAGGGTGTTGGACTTCCAATGAAGGGGGGGGGGGGGGGGTACTTTATGATATCACACAAGGGAACATTTCATTCTTACGATGTATTTTTATCAATAGTACATTTCCATACTCTATACCCCTCAAACTCAACTCTGGACCTCGAAGCCAGTTCCACTGCGTTTTTTCATTGTTCCCTTCTAATCAGGAACAATTTAGACCTGGGACACCAGGTGTACACAATTAATTATCAGGTAGAACAGAAAACCATCAGGCACCGGATCTCATTGGGTAAGAGTTGAATACCCCTGCTCTATACTATTTCCAAACATTTTTGACATACATAAAGGACTCTTGCAAGACTAGCCCTTGGTGAGCTAAAAGAGATCCTCATAAATAAACATAGTAAAAAATCCCTCCCAAAATCGCATGTGTGTCCCCAAGCCTATACAAATGGGGTAATATCATGCAACACAATCATGTAAAGTTTAATACAGAACTGATTAATTACGGACTGCTTATGAATGAAAACATGATCGTGTAAGTAACAACCCACTGGTCAAAAACTGGTTGAATCAGTGTTATTTCCACATAATTTCAATACCAAAAATCTATGTGATGACTTTGAATCAACATGGAAAACTGCTTGGATTTGCAAAAACTCATCAACGTAAGGGAATTTCGTATTTTGTTCCACACAACTTTTAACCTAAATCCAATGACATGGTTAATTTTTTTGTTGTTAAATTTACGTTGACAACTCAACCAAATGTAAATCAGAACTAGATGTTGAAATTACGTCTGTGCCCATTAGGAGTGTTCATTATCAATTGAACCAGGGGAGAAGGTTATAGTTAATCTACCAGCTGTGTCTCGGTAGCAATTAGCCTGTGGATGAGGTTGTAGCTAATATAAATCCAGCACATGTGTGAGAAAGGGCCGTTTATCCCTTTTTCCTCCCTTTCTTAATCGACAAAACCCTTGAAGTAAGCCTCCTTCCTCTTTCTTTTAATGAGCAAAGTTGAGTTATTCCTCTCCCTCTTTTATTCAAGTTAAGGAATGTTTTCAGTGACCCAAATGCCAACGGCTTACTTTCAGGATCCCATAGTTCCCGTGCCGTTTGTTAGAAGTCAGTTTGAAGGATGTGGCCAGGAACTGTCTAGTTTTTGGCAGGCTTTTTCATTTTTTAAGTTTCTCCTCGAAATAAAAAGAAAATAGGAGAATGTCACATTTAAACCCTAGCTTTTCGCGACCCACTTGAGGGCACAGAATTTAGGATTTAAGTTAATTTGTTATTTTTTCACAAAGTTTTGAAGTAAAGACTAATAATACTAATGTCCATACTGAATAGCATACAGATGGAAAAAACTGACGCTCCTAAAAACAAGAATGCGTTCACATATACTTGCAGTTCACTCAAATCAACACTAGGTGTCATGGGACAAATACAAAGATATTGTTGAACCATGTTCTATTAAACAAAATTCTAACTTTCAAGTAAGTGTACAAAAGAGCTGAAACAAATATATTTCATATAGAGTTGTCCCAAACCCTTAACCTGAAATGACCTAATTAAGGTAGTTCCCATAGCGGAAAAAATAATATGTAGGTTTTTTAAAGTTTTAAAATTATTTTTTTTAGTTCATCTGACATTTCGGTTATATTTAAGAGAACATTACATGGTTAATGTGTGCAATAGTGGGTTATTTTACAGTGTAATTGTAATACTCCTGCCAGCAATACTAAAGTAATGCTGTAAAATAACCCTACAGTAATTGACCATGAAACCACATTTTAAAGCATTTTGTCAGTGATCTGCAAATCACCTTGTATCCTAAATAACTACTCCTTATGATTTGTAGATCAGTCAATGATCAGTGACTGAGCAGAATGGATTCTCTCAAACATGGCCAATACCTTCTACATCAGGGGTCGGCAATAAACGACCCATGAGCCAAAACCTTCCTGCAAGTGGTTTTTTTGGGTCCCCAAATTATTTTTCTGTTTCGTTTTCGGTCAAAAAAGACTGTGAAATCAAGAATTCCGCTAAAAATTTGTTTAATTTAGGAAATGTGTTCCCAAGTATTCCCACAAATAAAAAAAGAGACCTGATCGTGTCTCAATGTAATCAACGTATAAAATGATTGTTATTTTCAAATACACTCACTTTTTGGGCTTAGTTGTGGTCAATTTGCAGTGTATAAATTATTATAATTACTGTATGTTCCGGCCCCCCGATCTAGCTAGTTGCCTACCCCTCTTCTACATCAAATGAAACCAGAGTGTCTGTGCTAATCCAGTTTTTAATTGCCAATACGCTGTACAAGTGACTACTTCCTGGTTCTGTCCCCTAATCTTTTGAATGGGCTTGACGATCATATAATCAAATTCATGAAAACACCATTTTCAAAAATAGACTGTGTAATAAAACGCTGGTTACAACAAACATACAATTCCATGAAACAGTGCGGCACAAGCGACGCCATATACAGTTTAATGCGAAAACATGCTGCGTCCATTTAGTCAAATGTCACCTGTACAAATTAGTGCTAGGCCTAAGATATGGCTCATTTCCAAATACACACAGCAAAAAGTGAACTCTAAGCAAGCCGAAAAATCGTATGAGTGATAATTCACTTACAATTAGTGTTTTTTTGTGTGTTTTTTCTTACCAAGCTAAATGACGTTAGATAATTTAGCTTGGTAAGAAAAAAAACAAGAAAAAACAACAAAAAACTATTGAATTATCACTCAATATAAGATATTTAGGCTTGCTTAGATTTCACTTTTTGCACTGCACTCAGCTAGTGAAACTGTGTCACTTATCCCATTAAGTCCACTTACTTTGTCGTTAAGCGGTTAAATGAGACTTACAATACTGCACACTTTCTAGTGTACACTTCCTTTTATCCTCAACCATTGTTTGAAACCTACAGTATTGCACTTTCAAGTGCACTTCCTTAAAATCTTAGCCACTGAATGAAAGCTACAGTAATGCACACTGTTAACTTTACTCTGAACCATACAATGAGAGCAACCGTTTTGCACACTTTCCACACCCTTACACCCACTACCATTATTTAACAACTATAGCCAAGTATTAAGTAAACTTAATAATACCGTCCGCAAGAGCAGGGCTCTCCAGAGGGTGGTGTGGTCAGATGTCCTGGAGGGCACTGCCCTCCAGGATATCTACAGCACCCGGTGTCACAGGAAGGCCAAGAAGATCATCAAGGACTTCAGCCACCCAAGCCATGGCCTGTTACCCGCTACCATATAGAAGACAGGGCTGTACAGGTGCAACAAAGCTGAGATCGATAGACTGAAAAGCAGCTTCCATCTCCAGGCCATCAGACTGTTAAATAGTCACCACTAACCGGCCTCCGCCCAATAACCCACCCAGAACTTAGTCACTGTTACTAGTCGGTTATCACCTAGTACTCCACCCTGCACCTTAGAGACTGCTTTCCAATGTACATAGTCATTGAACACTGGCCACTTCAATAATGTTTACATACTGTTTTATCCACTTCATATACTGTATACTGCGTTCTAGTCAAGGCTCATCCAATATAACTACTGCTGTACACACCTTTTCTATTCATATACTGTCCACACACACCATCAAATACATACAGTATAAATATATTCATATTCCAGATTCTGACATTTCTTAATTTCTTTCTTTACATTTTGGGGATTTGTTTGTATTGTTTTGTATTGTTAGGTATTACTGCACTGTTGGAGCTAGGTAACATAAGCATTTTGCTGCACCTGTGATAAGATCTGTAGAATGTGTACGTGACCAATACATTTGATTTGATTTAAGTAAATTTTTCAGTACACTTCTAAGCATAATAGCATGGAGAAAGTTACAGCACTCGGTTGGTGGTGCCCAGGGCGATGCGGAGCCTCTGGTGGAAGGCGGGCACCCTCTCCCTCTGCAGGGGCCAGTTGAGGATGCAATGTGGGCGCAGCATGCCCCTGCGCAGGAGCAGATAGCGGGACAACTTGTAGTCCTGCACGTCCTGCAGGAAGACCAGCACCACCGAGTCCCGGCTGTCCTCGATCACCTGGTGCAGGGCATGGTGGGCCATGAACCTTGGGGGAAAGAGGGAGGAGGATGGTGGGAGGAGAGGGGAGGGAAAGGAAATGGGAGGAAGCGGTTTTAAGGGAGAGGAGGGGAGGGGAGGGAAAGGGGAGAAACGCAGAGACAGAAGAGGGCATTTGTCAGAAAGTACAAGTAAAAGAGGCTCTAAGTACAGAAGCATAACAGGAATTAAATTTCAGATCTCAATCATATACATGTAATTGACACTGTTATCCAGAGAGATGTGCAATCAAATCAATCAAAAGGGGGAAACAACATGATCAGTGCTAGAATAAAATAATACAATCAAAGTTTAAAAAACTCAACAATGAATGGCAACATTTAACACTGGTTTATACTGTACTGTTAGAGCAGCTTTCCAGAACACAGATTAAACCTATAACCTCAATATTTAGAGGGTTTAGACAGAAACACCTGCCTTGGATCAGTGCTGTGGGGAGACTTTAAATCTACACTCTTCACTTAGACATTATTTGAGCATTATGGTCCATAGCCAAAAATGGGGTCATGATGAGTTCAGAATAATAGCATTTTACATTTATGTCATTTAGCAGACTCTCTTATCCCGAGAGACTTGAGCTGTGGCTGTACTTACATAGTTTACACATTATAGAATCTTTTCAATCATTATTGAACTCAAAAATGTTTTGTTTTTTTAGATTAATAAATGGTTATCCAGACGCTATGAGAATTTTCTGTGTAAAATGTTTTTTTTTTTTAACTTCTTGTTTGGGTTTCATATCTTCTTCCAAATTGGCCTACTCTCACCCACTTCACACCGTCTCCACTTCCCTGTTTGAGTGAAACTTGTTCAGTTGAATTTTAAACAGAATGCTCATGGTATTATTAATATCATAACACATTGGCTGCCTATCAAATGAAATCGTCAACATGATTTACTTTCATTTCAGGAAATAAAGACTCCTGCAGATTTTCACACCACTGTCCTTATCAATGTTCTCTTTTCCCTGACCAGTGACCACACATGCTCTAAAAAAGCTTATGTGATGTGAATGTTACAAAAAATATAACAACGTTCACTTTACTTACTGTCGACACATGGAGTCTTCGAGAAGAGTTTCAGTGACCACAAATAGTATTTTCCTGGACCTTTTCATATTCTCCACAATGGACTCCAGTTGCGAGTCACCTGGCACTGCATCTCGATCCTGCAGATAAAATGTATACCCCTGTTCTTTTTCTAGGGGGAGCAAGCTTCGTTCCACCCAGTTTTTATCCTTTGCAGTATGAATGACGAACGCGTCGTTTTCGAACTTCCTCCCCTCCCCGGAATTGGCATCGCTCAATCCTAGCGTACGGTTGATGAGAACGTTCCAGTAGAACTGAATCCTCCAACCCTGGAAGCGCACTAGGAGTGAGGTCACCATTAAGGTCAGGACCGCAGTGCTGGTCAGCACGTAGAGCGCCTGGAATGGTGTCATGTCCTTGCAGGAGAGCGTTTCGAACTCCATGACCGAGCGGTTGTAGTAGGCTTGCGGCGTGTTGCACACATACTCATCCCTGAGGCCCGGCACACTGGCGTTTGTTCCATTCAGCCACGCCACAAACCACAGGATGCTCTCGCAGGTGCAGTCGAACGGGTTCTTCTGCATGACCAGCTGGCTGAGGTTGGCCAGAGCCGGCCCGAACACCTCCTTCCTCACCGACGTGATTAGGTTCTTCTGGAGCCGAAGCACCCGGAGCGACCCCAAGTCGTCGAAGACTGAGTCCTTTAGTTGGTTCAGGACGTTCCCACTGAGGCTGAGCTCTTGAAGGTTGGCCAGTCCATGAAGGGCCTCCTTTGGGATCTCATCCAGACCGTTGAAATCCATCTCCAGGGCAACTAGGCTGCGGAGCCCCCTGAGAAACAGCACCGGCCCACCCGGGTTGGCACTCTTCCACACCCGGGCCAAGTTGTTGTGCTGAAGCTTCAGCACCTTCAGATTCTCTAGTCCATCCAGAAGACCAATCTTGATGTTGGCGATGTTGTTGTTGCTGAGGTCTAGGATGGTGAGGTTGGACAGAGGCTTGAACGGAGAGGGATTCAGATCCAGGGTGCCGGTCAGAGCTCTCCCCAGCATCAGAGTCCTGAGAGTGGGCACGTGGATGAAGGACGTAGGGCTGAGGGTGATCTTCTGGTTGCCATTAGAGAGGTAGATCTCCTGTAGCTGGCCCAAACCCTGGAACTCTTTCCCCCGTCAGGGTCTGGGAGATGAAGTTGTTGCCCAGCAGAAGGGTGGTGAGGTTGCCCAAGCTGGAGAAGGCTCCAGGGCCTAGACGGGAGATCGCTGTCTGTGTGAGCTTTAGCGTAAGAAGAGGTGAATCTGCGAGCGACACAAAGGTCTGGTTGGTGATGATTTTGAGCGCCATGCAGCTGGTCCCGCCCAGGTGGAGTAGACGGAGACTCATCAAACCAGCAAAGGTGAACACCGAGATGTTTCTAAAGGCAGTATTCTCCATGCTCAGGCTCTCCAGTGCCCCTAGTGGCTGGAAGGAGAAGTCGTCGATAATAGGATAAGAAGAAGTGTGACTCTTCACCAGCGCCATATTCAAGTTGAGCTGTGTCAGATTCCCCAGCCCGTGGAAAGTGTCCTTAGTCAGGTGCTTGAGGTTGTTCTGCTCCAGAGAAAGAACTTCCAGCATGGGCAGCCACTGGAAGGAACCGTCCCCGATCTTAGCCATGCTGTTGTGGGATAGATCCAAAGAAGTGAGGTGGGTCTTCCCCAGGCCTTTGAAGGTGGAGTTGGTCAGTGTGACTAGCTGTGTCTTCTGGAGGGAGAGGCTGCGGATTGCGGTCCCAGAGAGCTCTGTGCAAAGTTTAGACGTGAGCGGAGTGCTAAGTTTGCTCCCCGTCATGACTAACTCATGTATGCCTGCAATGGGCTTCAGGCAATCAGGCTCAAACTGCAATGAAAAAAATACTGATTAGTTGCCGATTAGATGCTGAACAAGATGCTGCCATAAATTATAGATAAGTTGTCAAAAGAGCTTGAACCTACTACTTCCTACTTATTTATAGTATCCCATTGGGCACACACTGGTTGAATCAATGTTGTTGTATCATTTCAACTAAATTACGTTGAACAAACATGAATAAACGTTGAATTGACGTCTGTGGCAAGTGGGATGTCGCATTATTACAACCTTTCAAGTGAGGCATTGAGTGATCCAGTTTTCACTACCATTGTATAGGTTGGGATCCTGCCTTGCTCTGTTCATCGTTTGCAATTGGTTTCATACGAAAATGATGGTTCAAAATGCCATGGATGTTAATTTGGTGGCTTTGCACTATGCCTAGATAATAAGATAAAGGAAACACTGAAGTGATCTTGACAACATAAAAAAGGTGGAAAGTGGAACGACAGGTAAATGAAACCAAGGTGTGATTGGTTGAGCATGGTTCTTATTCCTAGTGTCAGCAGCTGAAAGCATTAACATCATTTCATTTTCCATTTCACAGAATCTTTCGTACCGTTTTTAGAGTTGTTAGATTCGACAGGTCGAGGACTCGTAGGGATGAGGAATTACTTAGAAAGAAGAAGTCATCCTTTTTGAAGGTTGAGATAGTGTTGCCAGACAAAATGAGAGTCACCAGGCTTGGAAGCTGAAGGCGGATGCCCAACTTGGCTGTCTTCAGGTCATTTCTGGACACGTCCAGCAGTGTCAGACTCTGGTGAAACATTTAAAGATATTCCAAGAGGGTTTGAGAGAAAATATAACTGAGACAACTGCATTCAATTATACTTTGTCTATGGTTTAGGCTTGAAATAGAAGAACCCAAATCCTATTCAATGGATGGTAAATTAAATAAACAAAAATGGTCAGAAATAGTCCTGAAGAGTCAAGAGCGTCACCCGCTCTCTCATCATCATCATCTAGTACTGTATATCATCATTATCAACACATCCACAACCCCTGCCATCATCACCATCACCTTGACACTGGGCAGATCCCTACCTGTAGGGCAGCGAAGGGCTCTCCCTGTAGCTTCAGCCTGTTGCCAGCCAGGTTCAACTCTGTCAGATTGGTGCAGCTGCTCAACTCCTTCTCCGTCAGCCGATGTACCTCATTGTGCTGCACGTTCAGTGTCCTCAGCAGGCCCAGGGTCTGACACAGGCTTTCCTCAAGCTTGGTGAGGCTGTTGAAGCCCACATCCAGCTGCACGAGCCCTGGGTAAGGGGCCAGCGATGCTGGGGGTAGCTCTACCAGCCTGTTGTGGGAGACATCCAGGCCGGTGATATTCCTGGGCAGGTTGGGAGGGATCTCCTTGAGGCTGAGGTGTCTGCAGTCAGCCTGGCCGTTTCGCACCTGGCAGCCGGATTTCTGATTATTTTGAGAGGCGTGGCATAGGGTAGGGCCAGGGATGAGGTCACCCAGATTGACAGCCAATAGGATGAGGATTATATCTGGCCAATTCATAGCTTCAGATGATTTTAACAGCTTTTCTTAAAAACTATAAAAGAAATGGATAGGTATATAGTAAGTAAGCAGAGCTATATAAAGAGTTCAATTATTTGGCAATGCATATTTGTGAACAGGTTTGGCCATGTATTTTATATGGTGATTGATCATGAGTCATCAGAGAGAGAGAGAAACAAACAAACATTGCTTCTCCCATATAATATAATATACATTTGCAATATCAGAGCCATTGTTTCATCTTGCACACAAGACAATCACAATCTACATTTTGCTAAATTGAAACAGTTAACATACTGAGAACTGCTACAAAACTCTGCAGAACAAAATAATTTACACATTGGCTACAGAAACCTATATTTGGATTGTAACATTAGAAAGAAGAAAAAAAAAGAACATACCAGATGTCGTGTATTGAGAAGGAGAGTGTTGCTCGTCAGTCATTATGTTAGTAAATGTTTTGGAATTATATACAGTAAATCGGAGGAAGCAATCCGCGGGCGGCAGCAGTGTGTTGTTGAAGTGAAATGTCACGGATCCGCATATCTTAAACCGTGCGTTGTTCCGTCAGGCTACGTGGTGGCTCCCAGACAATGTTCTATTTCTTCAAAAACGAAACTGGCAAGGAGTCAAGGGCTGTGGGTACATTTTGATCTTTGGCGGCCACTATCGTTGTTGACGGGATTGCATTGGAAAGATGACCCAAACAACTGCGCAAACCTTTTAAAGGAATCACATTTTAAAGGTTCTAGTTCATATACGGTTCTGTGTAGGTTATGCTAATGTACTTTAGTAGACATGCAATTATCAGTCATATAAAATATTAATTATGTTTAGAAGATAGTTTTCCATAAATGTGTATATTCTTTGCTCACTGTTAGTACACTTGAAGTAAGCCTATAGAGAAACACTAGCCTAGTGAAACATGTGCGTCACTTTCTATGCCCATCCACATTACAAGAGTCTTGGGGAAATTGAGAAACTGTCTAGGGGCAACTTTCACATAGACAACCCCCACTAGCCTAGCTTTTTGCATTTCGATAAAAAAAAAACAATACATAAATTAAAGCTACAGTCTGCGATTGGTGCATACATTTGTTTACTTCTAAATTAATGATATATTGATTCTTGAAGAATACAATATTGGAATGACCCGGACTGGGTCATAAAGGAAAAAAATGCCTTAGTTCAACTGAAACCAAAATATAATGTCCAAAAATGGGCCAATTGCAGAGTTTTAATAATATTTTATGACTTTAATGTCAATGACTTGTTCACCCTTGTGATAACTGCAAAGCTCACTAAACATACCATTTCTAAACATACTGGCTTTTGTCCAGGAGATGGCGATAGTGATCAAGCAATAAGTTCCTCATTGGGAAATCTGTGTAAATAAATGAATAAAATAGGTTGGTTGTGTAATAGAAAATGACTCAAGTAAAAGTCAAAGTCACTCAGTAAAATACTATTTGAGTAAAAGTTTTAAAGTATTTGGTTTGAAATATATTTAAGTATCAAAAGTAAAAGTATAAATCATTTCAAATTCCTTATATTAAGCAAACCAGATGGCACCATTTTCTTGTTATTTTAATTTACAGAGGCACACTCCAACACTCAGACATCATTTAAACTAACGAAGTATGTGTGTTTAGTGAGTCCACCAGATCAGAGGCAGTAGGGATGACCAGGGATGTTCTCTTGATAAGTGATTTTCCTGTCCTGCTAAACATTCAAAATGTAAGGAGTACTTTTGGGTGTAAGGGAAAATATATGGAGTAAAAAGTACATTATCTTTCTTAGGAATGTAGTGAAGTAAAAGTAAAAGTTGTCAACAATAAAAATAGTGAAGTACAGATACCAAAAAACCTACTGAAGTAGAGAACCTCAAATTAAGTATGTAAACAAGTGAAACTGTACGATTACAACCGTCTACCATTTCCCTATGTCTATTTTAATTTCCCTTTTTGGTCCATTCTTTGTGTATCGGGATTCCCCCCTAGCAGTTTATCCCTTTGAAGAGTAGAGTAAGACAAAAATTCCACAATTTATTCCAAAATCAGCATGGCTATGAATTCATCTGAATCTAAGTAGTATAAAATAGTTTTGAACTTAAACATAACTCTAACTTCTGCTTTGTGGTTTGTCCTAGTTTGACATTTATACCGTCTTCTGAGATTTCTAACTTTTCTGTGGTATTTTCACATCCCCCTTCACACTGACTATTTCAATAATGTTATTTCAGTTGAATATACTGTACACTAAATTATGACATTTGAGGGGTTTGTTTGGCTACCAACCGTTCTGGATTTCTTTCTCTATTGCTGACCAGGAAGTGCAAGTAGACCACATAGTGAATTTACAGAACCCAATGTATTTGATTTACATCTAAATCAGAGACATTGTGTCGACAAGAAGCAATACAATCTCACCCCTCGAGCTAATTCATGTCCCTGTGATTTATAGGGGAGTCAACTATGTTATCCACTATAGGGGAGTCAACTATGTTATCCACAAGTTTACTCAATAGACGAAGGGAGCACACCTCTGCATTGCCCTGTCTTAGACCTGTAATCACCAAGATTCTATAGGCAAGTGGTTTTCAGCCCCATCCATTCTGGAACATTGACGTTCAAATCTCAAATCGGGACATTTTGGTTATAGTCCAGCACCAACACACCTGATTCAACTAATCATCAACCCCCTGACTTTTTGAATCAGGTATGTTAGGAGTGTTAGTTCTAGGCTGGAACAAAGTGGACACCCTGTTGAAATCCATTGCCACAGAGGCCATAAGAGACGTAGATCTATAGATTCTAGACTGTATTGATTCACTTATTTACTCATCGTATCGTTGCCTCAGAAACAAGCCATATAGGGAAAGGACCCCTTGTGTTCCAAAATTCCTACGATACGATAACTTGTGTATGTATCTGTGATTGATACATCAACTTTTGGATATATACCCATTGATTCTTGAGGAGTATAACTTATAAATGTCTCATGATCTTAGGAAGTGGGCAGTGGTGACAGGACCTATGCGGAGATCACTAATTGACAGAGCGTGCTCTACAGTTCCTGAGAATACATAAGAGGAGGAAACTGTGGGGCTCTATTTGCTCAAACTTGAACTGATTATCACCTTCCTTTATTGATATTCGGAATATGAAGTCTGTAATGATGATGATGTATCTTGTCTTTGGTAATTGGAGAATGAGTTGATCATGTCCAGTGGGAATGATGGGGAAGGTGAAGGGATCAGTTTGCATGCTCTGATTGTGTCTATGAGTATCATTCCCACTGGACATGATCAACTCACGCACACACACCTCTCTCTCTCCTTTTCTCCTCCCCCTCTGTCTGCCCCTCTCTCATCCCCAACCATCTCTATCTCTCTCTCTCTATTGATCTCAGTGGCTGCTGGGAGTAAATGGGGGGGGAGCCGGCACCAACTGTGCTGTCAGTCTGCAGTCTTTCCACTCCAGCTCTTCTGCAGGGCCAATCACTGATCAATCCCTCTGTCGTATAAAGTTCTCCAGTCTAATGCATTACTGTACTACCGAGTGACAGAGGAGAGGATGTTCAATATGCTAGCCTGGCGCTATAGTGTGTGTAAGATTGGAATTCCACTCTCCTATTGTATTTTTATACTGAATTGAGACAGGTTAGAGGTGTAGGAGGAGCGATTAAGTCGGAAGGGTAGACGTGGGGATTGAACCCCGGTCTCCGGTGGGGAGACACACATAACATATTATTTGACTAGCCCAATGCTTTGCACATACTGCGTGAACTGCTATTCATGTTTTATTTCAGCAACATAGTCCTCATTGATATAATAGGATGACTGATGCCATTGAGATTAAAAGCATCCTAGATTGTAAGGGAGACGTATCCCAAGTGTGTGGAAAGCTAGCAATTAACAATTGAAGACATACAGTTCACATAATACACTTTGTATACATAGTTTGTTATTTGCTAAATATGATTGTCAATTTACATTATGTTTATGTTAGTTTTACCATACATTTACTGTAACACATTTTAGAATAAGGTATGGAACAATATAACTCAAGTTTTTGCCAGACTAAAAATAGATTTTAAATGGATGACATTTCATTAGTTCTCTATAGAGACAAGGGGTCCCTATGAGGCTTAGAGGGTTGTGTAAACACCAATAAATGACGATAACCACATAGTCATTCTCTGTTGATACTAATCTGAACACAAAATGAACCTTTGTTATTATCATATAGACCCGAGGGTCGTAATTGTGAAGCATATTGGATGGGTGGATGAAGTTACTGCTGTCGTAAGCAAAAGTCAAATTAGTTCGGGAATTGCACTTGATCTGACTTTTGGGATTTATTTATTGATCGCAATGTGGTTATTAGATTCTGGCAAGGTACCAATTAAAAAGATATGGAGGAGCCAAGCAGTAGCTTGTTTGTGAACGTTTTATGAAGATTAAAAGTATTGCAGTGGGATTCAGAAATCCATGTTCATTCACAGCTAGTGCTTGCTTGACTTATTGGTTTTGTATTTCTCAACTTTCTCATCCAGTATGTCTGTTATTAGTGCGCATGCTGAAACCAAGAACACTAGTGTTATCCGCCATACTTATTAGTATGCTACTGTAATTACACTACTGTAACACTACTGTAATCCGCCTTATTTATTAAACATAAACAAGTAATTTAGTTTTGTTCTTCATTCAAAAAGGTTTTATATTGAAATGCATTGCATTACATTCCATACATGCACAATCAACAATAGTATAATATTATAATCACTATTTTATGTGACCATTAGAGATTTCACTTGAGTTTGAGCAATACTATAGAGATTAAAGGCATTTCAATATAATTTATTGTACAAATAATTCCTTTAGAAACACCTCCCTTCAATTGCCTTCCGAAACAGCCTTTATATACCCTCACTTATTAATGTGATAGCGCAACACTTGTATTTCTGCTACATTATTAAACAGATAACATAATCTGCCCCCGTCTGTCTCAGGAGAGCTAAACCTGCTTCTGTTCCCTCTCTCTTTATGAGCCCCTCTTTCATTCTTCTTTCACTGCATCTCTCCCATGAGACCTTTCACTCAGAGCTGTGACCCTGCTGTGACCTTTTGTCATAACTCTCTCTCTCTTTCAGGAACCTTTCAGTCATGTTACTGTGAAGGAGAAGCATAAACATAACAACACTGTCTAACTATGTTGGTTCCCCTATAGGGATTTTGGTTATGTTATTAAAAGCTAATTTCCAAGCTAATAATTGACATTTGAAGTCATTAAGCAGTAGCCTAAATTGGTGTACAGGCTACCAGGAAAGCACCACCACAATCATACTATTGGTTCTCTTAGGGATTTGTTTTGTGTGATTTGAAGCAATTATATCCAACCTGATGGACATATCTTGGAGGTCTTGGAGTAGTAGCCTGTATTGGTGTATAGTCTAACAGGGTTTGGCTCAATTCCATTTAAATTCAGTTAATTCATGAAGTGAATTCTCATTCCCGTAGAATCATTTCATTTTATTTCAATTCATGTTGCAGTACTTCCTGCCGTGACTGAGTTGAAATGGATTGAACCCTGCTGTGA